AATGCCTATACCTCACTTTACTGCTGGGTTGTAAGTCGTCCTATACTGGCACAACAAAATGACCCTATCACGCGCGACAACAGTAGAGCCTAACCACACAAAAAAACAAAACAAAAATAATACGTACTGCCAAATAAAACGGCACAAGAAAATGTAAAAACAACGACCAATATGTAAAAATAAATATACGTATGTACTATGTAGGTATATGTATATATGTATGCAATAGATCCCACGCAAAACAAAGTGGTGCGGCCAATGTACGTATGTATGTAAATATGTTTACCACTAGTCTGGTCTTTCTTTCTTTTCTTAATTTGTTTTTACTTAAATTTTTGTTTATTAAAATGCAACCAATAGCGTACTTTATTATCCAATTTGAACAAAAGGCTGAAATTGAAGCAAAAAGCTCGCCACCACACAGAATATTAATTTAGAGCGCTTTTTTTCAATATTAACTTTAGCTTCGTTTCTTTTTCCGCGCCCTAATCACTTAACACTACACTTATCTATTCGTGCTCCAAATCTTCCGGCGACACACAATCCAAAAACAATGCTCCGTATAGCCCGACAAAGCTTGTCCTCCGATACGACCGTATATGTATATGTATGTACGTATTGAGAGGAAAATAAGCTCCTCAGGTATACTCCGACCGTCCGTTACGACGCCGCCCAGAGCCGCCAAGGAAAAAAAATCCTCCTTGTGTTCCTGCTGCCAAAAAAAAAATTAAAAAGGAAAACAAAAGATTAATATTCAAAATACCAAACCAAACTTAATACCACAGATACAAAATGCGACCCAGCCTAATGTACATGCCTAATGTATATTTGAACGCTACTAAACAAAATAGAGAGGCCCCACGTTGGGCGCCAATTTGTCACCTTACCTTTTGTTTACAAAAGCCGACCTACCTAATGTCCCAAATAAATGCACTCACCGTGCGCAACAACAATGCGTCGGGCCAAACTAGGTAAACAAATATACGCAGAAAAGGGAGATGACAAAAAAACCAAGCAACCGGCTGGCTCAGTGGAGACGGCGGGGTTGCTGGCGGGTGCACTAGTTATCACACACAATAAGTAAGGAGCTACCAACACTAGGGTGAGTCGAAAACAAGACAACAAGATTTACGACTAAGGAATCGAAACAAAACGAAACCTTGTTTTTGGGGCGCACCTGAGATGAGGTCCAACCAAAAGGTTACGCACCCACTCGCACTACCGCCCGTGCCGCCGGGGATATCTTTAACCCGCCTGCATGACTGGGCTCAGGGTGCAGGATGCTAAAAAGGATCGGAAAGGGAAACACAATAAGAGTAAGCCTGCCGACAACAATAACGCCTGAACACAGACACAACAAAAGAAGACGATACTTATCGGCGGTCGGTGGGCGTTCCGACCGCAAGGGTGCTCCTCGGGAATTTGGCTCCCAAATCCGGTGCCGACTTCACCACGCCTCGACTGGCGCTGCTCCTCGAAACTAATTGCTACTGCAACCTAAGTGCCTCGCCTGGCACTTCCCGAATTTTTGTTAAAGATAAAGCACTTCGCACTGCACAAATTTATCTAATTTTACTAGGCTACTATGTATAAAAGCACTCGCGCTCGCAATAAGGATGTTGCCTTTCTCAAAGCTCGCTTAGAACTGCCCCGGCACGCAGTCGCGAGCGAGGCCGACACCTACGCACCGGTATGCAAACCGTTGGAGTGTCAGCGCCGGTGTTGTTGGTGCCCGATCAATTGGCGCCGGCCCGATCATTCTAGAAGCGAATTGGGCGCTTTAGCGGTCGCCACCACGGCGCACACAAACAACACCATGGACTTGCCATTGCCATCATGCGGCGGACAACAAAAGTGCCGCAATAGGTGAGAGCAAAGGCGACACCCCCACTAGGTCTTTCGCGTCATCTCTCATTCCTACATTCTTACCCTCGATCGGCACCGTTTTGGGGCGGAGTGCCTTAATGGAGACTTTTCCCCTTTGCGGTGGCGCTCCACCGACAAACAACTATTTCGCTCAACTTGAGCTTATTCTGCTATTTATTTAGGTAAGTACATACATATGTACACTTGAGTGTCGGCAGCCTTCACTCCTATCGGCTGGAGTGAAAGGAAATAGCTAAATAGAACGAAGGGAAAACAAATGTTTAATTTATTGCGGCCAGTACGCTACAATTTTTATGAGAGCAAAGCATTTTGGTTTGTTCTCTAATGAAATTGCTGTTAAACATATTTTTTTTCCTTCATTTTCGGTTTTTTTTTTTTTAAATAAAATATGAAGCAATTATCGTGTCCTCCATATTTTCCTTTTTGTGACCAGCTCAGAGCCAACTAACACATTAGTGACCGTTTTTTGAGACTAAAGGCGTGACATAGCCAATATACCAATAGTTACAACATTTAATAAATGAAATACAGATGTTTTACATATTACAATATGGGCAAAACTAAAAAATAGGTACACTTTCAAAATAAAAAATTTAATTTTTAAATTTGTGAGCACACCTATGTTTTATATATCATTTTATTCGTAATCTCTTAATAAATCGATTAATATAAGTCTAATTCATTTTCATCAAGTGCTTCAAAAGTTAGACGACGAATAAACATGAAAAAGAAAACGAAAGAATAACCTGGGTTCAAATTACGCTGTTCAAGTTTGAGCAAAGGTTTTGAAAGTTGAACTCACTTAATTGGCACGTTCTAAATTCATGGGCATGCCCCGTTTTACGCAAAACAACGTCTCTGATCAATCAGTTATATGGGAGCTAGATGTTGTAGTGAGCCGATTTCGATGATATTATGGAATAGTTAAGGTCATATTAAAAACGATTATGTGCAAAATTTTAGAAAAATATCTTTAAACCTCAGGGACTTTTTTATAAAATAGTTAAAATTTAAGCAAAGTTTCAATTACCGCTATCTCAAAAAGTGGAGCCATTAGGGTAAAACTGAGGACGCCATTGAATTTAGAAGGATCCAATTATGTAAGAATGACTTTCAGAACATTGGTCGAAAAAAAGCTGCTTTGATACCACTCTCGAAATATTCCGACTAAAATAAGGAGCATCATTAAAGGTAGTAAATCAGGGTTTTTACACACTTCTAGAGAAAAATTTTTTGAAGCATTTTCCAGGTATATGTAATTTTATAAGGACTAGCAGTTATAGAAAGATTTAGATCGTTTCGACGTATTTTCCAAATGTGCCTTCAACTAAGGTCTTTTTGAAATAAAATTACGCTCAAGATCGCAGAATAATTTAACTTTAAAAGTTAGTTTATTTTGAAAGCACACCTCTTGCTAAGGCATCAAATTTTTCGTAATTGTTTGTAGAATACAATAAATACTTAAAAAGTTCTTAAAATTAAATGCTTCAAAACCTATACGCGATAAACCGAAAATTTTTAAAATTGTGAAATGTAGAATTACAGACTTTGCCATTTCGTTATTTTTTAATGCACACTTTTCTCACCTATTACATATGAACTGTACACATAAGTGCTAAATGCCCATTTAATATCAAATCAGAATATGGTGTGCTTCAAAAGTTATGACATAATTAATTGTGCCCCTCTTAAAAATTACATAAAAAATTCCCTTGTTTTCATTATTATTTTTTAATTTAAACACCGATATTTCAAAAGTTAAGCGGCAAATTGATCCAAATTTTTTTTTGAGGCTTCAAGTAAACGTCAATGAATTATATCCATAATCAACCAGCTTGATTTAGTTTACAATAGTGAAAATAAAGCTAAATAACACAAAGGTTACCTGTTTTTTAGATTTGCCCATATACATATTTAAATACATACATACAGATGTTCTTGCCTTGCTTCCAAGCTGAGCCTGCTAATTTTGCTTCACGCTGGTCAAATCCTGTAATTTAAATTAAGAAAGTTTTAAATTATTATTTAATAACCCATAAGAATTTGTTTTTGTAAGTTACTTTTACCAAAGATTTTTTCGGTCAAAGAAGTCCACCAATGTCCCTTATATGTAGTTAGGGGTTAGAATGGCAGTATTGTTTGTATAACTTCATCGCCTTTTCTGAAGATTGAAGTAACTTATTTATCTGAACACAATTTTTCCGACAAATGATGCAAACATATGAAGTTTTTCATTATAGCAAGGTAGCTTTTTAAATTCTAATGCAAAACATTTTAGTTTTAAATATTTTTCATACCTAATTACTTGTTGAAAATTGTGTCGCACTACAACTGGTTGGGAAAATATTCTAAAATGTTTCATTTAAGTTTTTAAAATACGCTTTTTTGACGCTATTTCTTTAATGTCGTTTGTTCTCCTCAGTAAAAAAGTGAATATATTATAACGATCGTTTTTGTTTTGCGAATGTTTCGTTTTAAAGTCGTAAGTACAAATACAGTAATTTTTATTTTGTATGAAGAAAAATTATATCGGAAAATTTTATTTTACAATTTCTTTTAAAAACTTGGATTTTACCTGTATCATTTTCTCTGTGTATGTATGTACCCATATGACTTGCGCACTTACTTTTGTAAGTACTTGTATTTGTAATATAAGTTTGTAAGTTCACAAAGGTAAATCTAAATAAAATGGTTCTGTGAAAATTTGCATTTCGGTTATAAAATAAATATGTACTTATATTAAAATGACCCCGTGTGACTAGGGTGTCAACGTACATATGATGTACATATAAGTACATATGTTTAAGCACATAGAGAAACTTAAAATTCCATAATATCCCACAACTTTACTAGTGAGATTTCGCATCTTTAACGAAGGTTTAACGTCGAACATGAGTGGCCAGAACAAACCTTCAACCCTGATAAAATTTTTGACTATCAAACATCACGAATAGTCTGGCATTCACTTTTCCAGCTTATTTGGCTACTTGTGACTTAATCACCTTCGAACAAGAAGGAACGAACCTAAAGCTTTTGACAAAAGCATTTACATACATATATGCACATATGTACACTGGAAGCTTGAAAAGCTTTTAGTTATTGCATGTATAAGGAAAAACCAATACGGACTTCTTTTTTCTGTGATTGTTCCACCATTGAATTATAAATACATATGAATGTAAGAAGTAAAATTAACACATTTTTAATCGAATACGAACAAAAATTCATCGAGTGTATTAAATATAAAAAGCTAAACTCAATAAAAGGTGTATTAAATCTGTATATTGGTTTTGAAATATGTGAAGAAGGGAAAATATTGATTTTGTTGATTCTTGCCTTAGTAAAATGTATCAATTCAGTAGCTCGACTTATATTTGAACGTACGTTGTTGCAAATATAAATTGCTATGGCAGCTACAGGAACTTATAACCATAGTGCATTGCTACAGAAACAAAGGTCCTTTGGGGCCAGTTACATATCAAAACCCGATGAAAGTGTACTTGTCGAAGGCAGTACCATAAATAACTCAACAAAACAAAAGGTAAAATCTGACTGTTTATTTTTGCTATAATTAGAGTGACTATACGTACTATTGGCCTACTTTGGAATCTTAAATTGCTTTGCAGTGGCGTATCCAGCGTGAGTTACTGTCTAGTGAGCTGATATTTTTAGTTCTGATTTTTTTTTCTCCTAAATTCATTGTATATGGGCACCCTTTTTTGATAAAGTGATACTTACCTGCACTATTTTAAAAATAAAGGTTTTGTATTTTGTTGTTAGGGTTGCCAGACCTAAAATTCCGAAAGGGGTACAGATAAGAACAAATTGGGGGACTTGGGGTAAAACTGAGAAAGAAAAAGGGGCATTTTTCGGGGACAAACAAAACTAAATGTATTCAACAAAAAATTGATTTATTCGCTTGTGGAACAACAAAACCGTTCATAAATAAAAATTCAATATCATTTGAACAAAACAAAGTTGCACTGGCGATCAAAACTGAGTGCATGGTGATTTTATTTTAAACATTTACAATGTTTTTCAAAGTAATTTTTTTGTTATTTTTGCGTTGCTTTTTTTCAACTTAATCTTTGTATGGAAAAAAGCAATCAGCAAAAAAGTATCAACAATCTACTCGATTTTTAGCCGCGTTAAACTTGCACTTATTTTACTAAAATTTCATGAGACATGGGTCTGTATATCCAAGAATTCAGATAAAAAGTTCAAAATTTTGATAAAAATTTGTTGCGTTTTTCTAAAATTTGTATTAAGTTTGCAAGTTTGATTGATGTATGTATTTGGTTTTGTTTAAAGCATGAAAAATATTTTTATAAAAAATTACAAAAAAATTTATTTGAAAGACATTGTAGATATTTGAAAAAATCACCATGCACTCAGTTTTTATCGCCAGTGTATGTATATAAAAAAATATATGTACATACTTACATATTTAGCCTTAAATATGGCATACGATTATTTTCAAATAAAAATTATACTTTTCGTTCAAATTTGATTCAACTAAGCGCCTGTGAAAGTTGAACAATACAAACATGCTTTAAGCCGAAAGTGGAGGATTACGGGCAAAAATGGGGACCTACGCAACCTTACGTAGCAAGGGGGGACCAAAAGTCAAAATGTTGTATGCATGTATATGTTGGTATATTTTTGACATATTCTACAAGAGGAGAGTTGAAAGAGACTATTTCCTTTTAACGCACTTACACTCTCTCAGCATATAAGTTGTGCACACTTTCTTTCTTCAATCCCAAAGAGATTTGAAGGCAAAGAAAAAAATGGAATAAAATGCCAGTATTAAAAATATTGAGTAAAACGTTTATATCTTTATAGACTTCATAACAATCGTGTACATGATATATTTGCTTATTCAGCACATACTTGGGTTGTTTAGCATACTTTGGTTACGCTTTTATGCATTTTTTATTTTGCAACTGTTTGAAGGTGCCCATTACATTTCAGGTGCATTTTTTTCTCTATAAAATTAAATAAACGTTTTCGCTCAGTTTAAAGAAACTTGCGCCTTTTCAGCACCTCAAAATGGGACTTAAAGCTAAGGAAATTTGAAAAAATAGCCCATTAAAAATAAACTGAAAAATGTTAATAACTTTTTTAAACAATCGCCTAAACCAATTATTAAAAAAAAATCTAATAAATGTCATTAGGTGGACGTGCAAATTTGCATTCTTATTCTTCTCTTCTTATTTGGCGCTCTAACCGCCTAAGCAATTTTTGCCGAGTTCAGCAAAGCACGCCAGTCGCTTCTCTCCTGCGCCAACTGACTAATTGGAAATGCCAAGTGAAGCCATGTCCTTCTGCACTTGGTATTTGCATGGCAGTGGGGGCCCCCCTCCTCTTATGCTACCACTAGCCGGTCCCGAGTTGAATACCTTCAGAGCTGGAGCGTCTGTGTCCATTCGAACGAAATGGCCAACGGCGCCACTGTATTTTAATTCGCTACACTATGTTTATGACGTCATAAAGGTAATACAGCTCGTCGTTTGCGGTACTTGCCGACGCCAACGCTTAACGGCCCGTAAATCTTCCACAAAATCATTTTCTCGAATACTCCAAGAGCCGCCGAATCGGATGTCATTGTCCACGCCATATACCAGCACGGGCATGATTAGTAACTTAGCGAGTGAGGTTTTCGTACAGCGAGAGAGGAATTGCCTACCCAATCCAAAGTAACACTTGTTGGCAAGAGTGATTCTAAGTTAAATTTCCAGGGTGATATTTTTATCGGGGTTGATGCTGGTTGTCAAGTATACGAAATTCTCTATCTTCTCGAAATTATAACTGTCAACAGTAACGTAGGTGCCAAGCCGTGAAAGCGCTGAGCGTTTGTTTGGTGACAGGAGAAACTTCGTCTAGTTCTCGTTTACCAGCAAACCCATTCGCTTTGCTTCCGTATCTTGGAACTTGGGAAAGGCAGAACAGAATTGTTCCGGAGAGGTTCAGTTCTGCGGCTTTTAGCTTCTCCATCATCAGAATAAAGAAATCACACGAAACCCAGTTTGAAAGCAAATTGGTCAGAGAGGTCTTTGCAAATTCTGACGGAGCTTTGGTATTGCTCAACGTCATTTTACACAACCTATCAGTTTCGCGAGGATACCAAATTCAGACATCGTGGCGTACTAACAACTCATTTTAGTGCTGTCGAAAGCGGCTTTGCAGTCGACAGATAGATGGTGACCTTGTAACCTATGCTTATAAGGCTAATCCCGTGGTAGTTGGCGCATATGGCGGTATCGCCTCTCTTGTGGATTGGGCTGACCACACTTAAATTCCAGTCGTCGGTCATGCGATTATCTGCCCATAAGAGTTGATGTTGTGAGTTATCATCTCCTCGCCCCGTACAGTGTGTAATTTGGGCGATTTAGGAGAAGGAACATCATAGCGCCTAAAATTTTTACTGTATAAATCCTTTGTTTCTTTATGTACTTTTAATATACTGTAGTATAATTGCGGTTGCAAAGGATGCAAGTGATTTCAGGTGTATAATATTTTATATGGGCATTTCCAGGGGAAGGTATTTATAGTAAAAAATTTAAAGTGATATATTTATCTGTCACTGGTACTTCAGTAAACTAGTGTTTTTATTACATTTAAACTAAATATGTCAATGAATTCGTCTTTTTATTACATTAGAATTTTGTATATCAGGACAGCACACTTTACAGCTTGAGAGCACTCGCACGACTGTCAATTCCTTTTTCACCCTTCTCTTTCTCGGTGTTGGCCGGGGTTGCCATATCAGTTGACAGCTCGGCCCTTCCTGATGTAGGCATCGTCCCTATGCCTGCAACTTCATCATCGTCATTGGAGTAATCACTTTCACTGGCATCGTCCAACTCAGGAGGCATATCACACCAGTGCTTAATTTTGTCGGCAGCATAAATGGATTCGAACATTCTTTGGCTTATTTGCGTGCCGTCGTACTTTAGCCACCACATATTGCCCTCGGAATTTGGGTTCAAGTTTGCGTTATTCCCCGCGTGCGGACGGTTCATTGAGGTTCACGACCAAATGTTCGACACTGTAGATAGTGGGCGCTTCGCTTTTTTTTATCGAAGCGCTCTTTCCACTTGTCTCGATGTGCAATCAGATGATTATGCGTAATATTATTTAGTTTCAAGTCGAATATGAGTTCTTTGGGGGAAAACCCAGTAGTCGAATTCTTTTGCGAGTTAATCGACCACTGTAGCATACGCAGCTGTTCGCACCACTCTGGATTCGATGTTGACGTACGTAGAAAGTTTAAGATCGTTTGGTTCGCTCGCTTCACCGGCCCATTAGCTCGTGAAGTTCGGACAGCAGTCTTAATATGAACGAAGTTATTGTCACTGCAATATTTAATGAATTGCTCGGTCGTAAACGCTGTGCCGCAGTCCGTGACATCTCGAGCGGGAAGACCAATATAGGCCGAAACCTCATTCAACGCTTGAATAACAGGTAACGTTTTGGTGCTACGCACTGGTTTTTTAATTAATTAATTTATGCCAACGGCTTTTTACCCTCCATTTCCTCCCAACCGACACGAGGGGCGCAGTCCGCATGACGTACGGATTTTTATTTTTTTTTGAAGTGAAACTTATTAGGCGGTGGTATCGCAAAAATGGAGAGTGAAATTTTTAAAACTGAAAACGTTACATGAGTGAGAAGGAAGATATAGGTAGTATAGGGAAGGGGAAAAAATAAATAAAGCAACGCATGACGGGTACGAGTACCTACATATGTATATATGTATGTTTGAATGCACGGATGCGAATGCGGATGCGGATGTTTAACAGCTAACATCCGCGGATGCGAATGCGAATGCGGATGTCAAGTATTTTTAAGAAATAACCCGGTAAGCAAACTAAGTTATTTAGGTAAATAAAAAAATTTAATAGGTAGTAATTTTTAATAATGTTTATTTTACTTATTACTTGAATTTAAAAATTGAAAATTTTATTTATATATTTATTGCAAATTTAGGATGTATCCTCCTGACTTTCATGTTCACTTGAACAATCTAGCATAATGGTGAGATCGTTGTTTAAACAGCGCTTACAAACCAACTCAGATGTGTCAGGTTTTTCTGAAGCTTTTTTAAAAGAATTCTTCATCCTCATTCCTTTAGCAGTTTCATAATTTAGGGAACTTGCAACGTCATCAGCGTTTTTCGATTTTGGTTTTTTAAATTCATTTTTAATGGGTCTTCTGCGACTGGTTTGAAGAATTTATGCTTATAGCGAGCTAGATAGATGGACATGGAAAATAAATTATTATTTTCCAGGAATGAAAATTTTGAACAAAATTGAGTAGTCCACTTGCAAACAGCGTAATGTGATTTTAATAATAGTAAGCCATAAATGAAAAAAAAACGTCTACAACAACAAGTAAAATCCAAATTGTATCCTTTTTATTATTATCTGAAAGTTTTGATAAATAAAAGCTTAGTAGCATTAAAAAACCAAATCGCAGAATGGTAGTTTGTGCAAATTTTATATACAAACAAGTAAANAAATCCAAATTGTATCCTTT